TCTTTTTACTGTTGTACTGTCAATATTCGGTCTAATAGAAGTGATATGTAGTCTTTTTAAAAAGTTACCAGGAAAAAGTAACTGGTAACGGTCCCGTTACCAGTTACTCGGGTAACTGGTAACTCCTTCTATAGGAACCGTTACCGTTACCGTTACCGGGTAACGGTTTGGGAACGGTAACTGCTGACCCCTATGTATGACCCTTACGGTTGCCATAGCTCCACCAGGATGGTTTCTGGTCGCGCGTGCACGCGCGAAAAAGTTGAATAGATTTCAATGTAATTTCTTTCAATCAGTTACGATTTATTTGAAAGAGACGAAAGAAAACGAAACAAAAAAATCATAAGAATTGAGTTTGTTCAATATTGAATTTTTGTACTCGATGATTTAACCAATCGACAACATAGAGATTGCCATGTCGAGCGAATGATAAACCCATGGGCTGATTGAGTTGATTTGACTGTGATCCTTTACCGTTTCCACCAATAATGACACTTCCTTGTCTGGCTCCTTTTGGCCAACGCGTGACTCGATGATTCTGTTTATCAGCCACATAGACAGTACCCAATTGATCGACAACAACTCCACGAGAAGCATTCAGTTGTGAAAGACTGTTCCCTTTTCCTTGACCACCGGCTACAACAATGCCTTGTGTGACACCTTCTTCCCATTTCATTAAACGATTATTTCCCCAATCAGACACATAAACTGAATGATCTCGATCGACAAATACATAGTAGGGATAAGAGAGTTGATCGAGACGATTTCCTTGTTCATTGCCACCTGCAACTACTGTTCTTTTAGTCTCACCAATTTTATATCGTTTTACTTCATGTTCTCTATAGTCAACCACATAGAGATAACCATTGTCGTCCATTGCCAAACCGAAGCACTCGATATTTGAAATAATTGTTTCTCCATGAGTACCATTTCGACCAGACCATCGAACTACTCTTTTATTCTCGTTATCGGAGATGATGAGACTATCGCTTGCTTTGTCGATAGTCACATCTAGTGGTTCATTTAATTGATGAGTTCTCTACCCTTGTCCATTTCCACCAGCAACTACTGTGCCATTCGTTGCACCAGATTTCCATTCCACGATACGGTGATTCCCGTGATCAGCAACATAAATTGTTTCATCATCGTCGACGTACAAACTCCATGGGTGATTGAGTTGATTGGTTCCACTGCCATATCCATTTCCTCCAGCAACAGTAATACCATTCTTTGACCATGTTGCATTCGGATGAATATCAACCACACTTGCACGTAATGGTCGTACTGAAATGAAACAAAATTATGGAATAGAAATCAACATTTATGGCAATGAAAATGAGCTCTTTATTTTTGCTAACAATTCATTTTTTTTTCTATGAGCATGAATATAAAAAGATGTTTCTAACTTCTATTTTAAGAAATCAATAAATTAATACCGCAATCATGAGAGGAATGCTGTTTTTCTTTAAATTTTTCATATTTGACCACGAGAAAAAAGTAATCGAATTATTATTTTTCTGCAACATTTAAAGAGCTACTACCGGAGAGAGATTAATAAAGAAGACGACTCGTATTGTTTCTCAATTTTTCATTTTTTTTTATGAAGATTCATAGTTTCAGAATTTAGTTTAGAAGAAAAGAATGATCATTTTATGTCTAATACAAATCGATTTTAAGCAAATAAGAATGAGAAATGAGGGTTTGGGTGTGGGAGGATATGAGTCTGACATGAAATCAAACTCACACCCACAGACTCTCTCTTTGCCATAAATTCACAGATGACTATTATTGATATTATCGAGTAACATTTTAAAACTTATCAAAATAATCACTAGTATAATTTTAAAATTCAATCGTGAGTTTTCTAAACAATTTAACTAACGTATAACTTAGGAATTCTAGAATAAGAATACAAAAAAGTTCTTTTTTCTTTTAATAGAAATCACGGTTGTCCATAATCGTAGTTTTTCGATACTCTGAACAATTTCATTTAAATTCTGCGAAATGTTCAGAATAAAATATCTTTTTCATTTTTTTAAAATTATCTGTGGAAATGTTAGTTACCTTTTAAGTTAAATATGATCTCAAAAAGTCATTTATGTTGATTTTATTGTTAAAATGTTTTCACTTTTTTCATATCTATACCCTATTTGAATTTTTTGTTTATTCAAACAATTCGAGACAGTTTTTTTTCTGTCGGAAACGAATATTTTCTTGTTCATTTTGCTTATCTATATTGTATTCTAAGTAGTGGGTGTGGGTGTTTCATACTAAGCAAAACCAAGGATTTCAAAATAACATTGATTTTTGAGAATTGTGATATATACCATACAATAGATTCTAATGATTTTCAACAATGTGTGGAAAGCGAAGCAAAGCGTTTATTTCGTATTTTATAATTAGAATTGAGATACTTTTAGTTAATGTACAAAAATTCACTAGATTCAAAATTCTGTACAAATTTCATTTTTGGTACTCTTCGAAAATTATTTCTATAGAATCAACTTTAAGTCGAAAAAAAAATTGAATACATATTTAGAAAGAGCGTAAGATTCTCATTTTAATTGACTAATTTTGTTTGTTTCGTGCAGCCAATGAGTGAAAGAAAAAGAACTTTGATAGCCTACAAAAGAAAATTGGAGATATGTTGGAATTTTCTCTTTCCTAAATAATCCAATTTATCTATAAGTTTGTCGAATCTTACTGATCATAACTTATCCGGTAGTCGAAACTTTTCTTAGTGAGCGTTTGAAATCTTTAATATTTGATAAAAAGAAATATATTATCTACTAGATCAACAGTTTTCTATGTTTCCTTCTTAAAAACTAATATTTTTTTTGATTTTATAATAGCTTTTCAACACCTATTAGTTAAAAGTTTTGATGTTGTAGATTGCTGACTTTCGTTGATATCACATGATGAATTCTTTATATATTTATTTATTTCTCTTTCTCAATTGTAGGCTAGTAGAAGACATGAGTACATGTTTCAATAAACGAGTATAACTTTAAGTAGGTGAGGTTAACAACTAGACAGGACATAATTAACATATCTAGCCGTGTGATAATATAAGAAATTAAAAAGAAATTTCGGACATGATACAGATTTTAGAAAATCTCTTCTAGAATTCCTATGAATTCAATGCGATCTACAAAACTTTTTCAAAATATTATAGTGTGCATATGAAATTATCTTTAGGCTCCCCATGACAGCTTGTTTTTTCGGAGTAAATTAGAAAGTTTATAAACAAATAGATATAAGGAGATTAAAAATAAAACACAAGTCAAGGATAACTACAATCTTTAAAAAAGTATGTCACTCCCAGGAAAACTGAAGCTCGTCCGCAAACCATGAAAGATTTCCCTATGTACCTTTATAGATTGATTTCTTTCATTCAAAAAATTTTAAATTAGCAATCAAATAATATTTGAAGACTCTAAAAAGTACGACATTGAAATTCATGATAAACCTCAATCATCATCTAATACAAAAAATAAAGAAATGTCATAAAATAATGCTAATATGAATAATTATGATGATATAGCAGTTATGTATGAAGAAAATTATAATAAAGAAATATCCAATCAAGAATAATGAATTCAAAAAAAATCTTTACAGAAAAAGAAAATGAAATATTTAGCCTTGCGCAATCATTCAAGGAAAGCATTCCATCAAGTAAAAAAATCTATCCGAACTAGTTGATGACAACAACGATGAAATAGAAAAAAACATAGTAGTAGCTAGAGCAAAAGAATACTTGTGTTTCATTTTAGATTTTCTGAATGAACTTCATCAAAATGGTGATTTGTATTTAAGAATCATTAATTAAATATAAACTTTTCCTTTGTTTTAGATTCTCTAAACGTGTCTGACTTAAATGGTTAGTTATATCTTAGAACTAAAAACTGATATCAACTTGTCTTTTGTTGTAAACGTTTATAGTCGATTTCATTCAAAAGGTAAGTTTTCAAAATGATTTCATCGAAAGGGTTAGTTACATTTAACAATTACAAATTAATATTAACTTTGCTTTCGTTCTAGACTTTTCACGTAGACTTCACACAAGTAGTAAGTGACATTTAAGAGCTAAAAGCTAATATCAGTTCTCGCTGTGGTTTAAATTCTTCAAATAGTTAAATCCAAATTATAAGCGATGTTACGGCGATCGAAAAATTGGATATTTCTCCTGTTGTCTTGAAAACAGACTCTTTTTAGAAAGTACAGACTTCGCAGCCGTATCATTTTCCTGATGTTTCTTAATTTATCCCTATAGAACTATAATTAAACGGTTAGTATTTAATCTTTTGTCATCATCTTATTTTTCAAAAATCAAAAAAACAATATCTATAGATTAACTGTTACCAAAAGCAAAGGTGATATTGAAATAATAGTAGGTTGAGCCACTGATATTGTTTTAATTTTGCAAACGATGTAAATGTCTAAAATTTTCATATAACTGAAGAAAGTCGGTAACGTTCGCAAAATATCGAGGAAATGAACTAATATTTTTACAAAATTTCGTTCGGCGGTTACATTTCACAATAATTAGAAATTTTTCTCCGATATTCGATGGTGTTTTGCGCTAATATATTATATCTCCTGAAGATAATGTTTCATTTTCGAAAATTTCAATAGGAACAATAATACAAATTTTACAACACCACACATGAACACTTAAATAAAAACTATGTAGTCATACACATAAGGAATAGCATATAATGAGTGAAACTTATTTTTTATTATTGTACTTTCGAGAATCATAAAGAGCTAGTAGAAACGTGACTTTCAAAGAAAAAATATTTTTTTCATATGTAAACATACTAAACTGAAGAGAAAAACATAAAAACTGGTGTTATTTGTTTAATACAACAGATCTAACTCTAGTGGTTGAATTTGATCATTTTCATTAATCGATATGTCAACAGGGAGCCCTCATCATTGAATCGAAATTTTCTACGCGACTGAATATTTTGTCTCAAGTGAATTTTCAATTTGAAAAGAAGCATTAAAATCACGAAAGAAATTCGGTTGGAATAATTAAATGATAACTGGAATAATTAAAGAAAAGGTAACGCACGCATGAAATATAATATTAGATGAAATTATTCGTTCACATTACATGGGAGTTAGTATTAAATACAAAATAAAAAGATAAACACTATATAAATCTATATCAGTTTCAGAATATGTTAAAAATAATTGCAAATAAAATCTGATTTTCTGCTAAATTCGTTCTCTTATTGATGAAGATTAAAATACACAAACTACTTCAATGACTGCATCTACTTATTAAACAAAGATTATGTTTGCAGATATGCCCAATGATAACAATATGTTAATTAATCCTTATAGACTCATCGTGCTAAGTGTAGTGTGGTTTTTGTAAGTTTCACAATCCTTAGTACTTGCCTAAAAATGAGGACAGACACTGGTTTTTTTGCTGCTCGCAAAGCGGTTTAGTTTTCTATTCACAGGATCAAAATAGGAGCGATTCCAGGTAATATACTGGAAACTTTGATGTACAGATGAGACCCAATTGAATTTTGAACCATATATATAGTCCCTTGTCGAAATGGGTGTGTGGTTGGTGTGGGTGTGGGTGTGAATGTGAGTGTGGAATACCATTGATTGAACCCACACCTACACTCAAACTCATAACTACGCCCACACCCTACTTAAACATACCAACACCATTTATTTCAATCATTACACATCATTTAATGTCTTATATTCAACACTTGCTTACTGGTTTGTGTTCGTTTATGAAAGCAAAAAGTCTTCAAACAAGAAACATTCTGTTTACTTCTGAAATCTTTTCGATGTTAATCACAAGGTCTTATTGATTACCCAAACCCATTATTATGTTGAATAAAAAACACTAGACAATAATTGAAGTAAAATTTGTTCAATTTTAGTTTTTTATTTAAGAGTTATTTTTTTCAATTAAGAAAATATTCATGAAATTGTTACTTCTGTATCCTTTATTCTGTTTGATCTGTGTTTGAATGGAAGGACAACATTTCTATTTATTAGATCAAATGAAATACTTTATTTTACAACGATTATTCACCTTCAAGAAAAAGAATATTCTACTCATTTGTATAACTTTGATTATTCATTCATTTTCATTAATTCTTCAAAAAATACCTTGACAACATGAGTTCTCGTCTTTTCTTTCTTTCTTCACTTACTGCGTTTTTGGATCCAAGTGTATTGTTTATTAAAGCTCAAGGAGAATGGTAGCTTTTTCTTTCATTTTGAAATTCTAGAATTACATTTTATTAATCATGGTAAGTTTTTTATACAGTGCCATAAACAAGAGAATGTTGACAGCCATAGTCGAGTAAACAACAATCATACTAAGTCGTAACTGACAAAACGCACATTTTATTTATAATTGAAAGAAGAAAACCTCGCCATCGTCAAAGTAGTCATTCGTTTATGTAGAATAGTATTAAACATAGTTCTATGTCAATTCAATGCTTCATTTAAGACTAGAAAAGACTAAAGTTTCAATGTAATTTCTATTATAGTCATTGTGCATGATATCAAATGCAAATAATCACAATTGTAGTATTGGATACACAAGTTGTCTAAAAAAAATATGATCAATTGATAAAAATGAATAGTTTCCATATCAATCAAATTTAATCGAAGTTTTTCTCTTGGTTTAAAATAGTAGACTAGAAAGTTTTCATTTTTAAATAACAATTTCATAAACGCTCTAGAAAAAGTCGTATTTATTATTAATCGACATAGATTAGTTTTTTGCGGTACTAAATTTAGAAAAAACGATCTTGCTTTATATATCTAGTCGAATTTCGAGTGTTACTATTGATTACAAATCGTTAAGATCTTGAAAAAGAATGAGGGAGACTCAACTAAAAATAATACAGGTTCACATCTACATCCCGACTGGACTGGTGCTTCTCTAAATGAGTTTAATGATTCTGAGCGGTTCCTGTAATCTTCAAGGTTGAGAAGCAGATTTTTCTTACTTGATCGTCGTAGATGGATATCGTCTACGTCCAACATTTTCGCATTAATATGGTATAGAATGAATTTCGTTGATGTATACCTTGAACAAATATAAACCGATTCAGAGATACAAATTTATGTTTACCATACTATCGTATGCGATTGCAAAAATCGTTAACGATTCTTCCTTAGAGAAAATCTGAATATTCTTCTTATATACAACAGTGATATAACATTAGACCATTAAAAAGAGCAGAGCTTGTCGTCATCTAATCTTTAAAATATTTCATATTCTTCATTCTTTAAGGACATTTTTAATTATTTAACCGTCATATTATTATTACACGAAGATTTAAGTGATAAGATCACAAATTCATCTTATTTTCAGAGAAATCATAACCTTATTACTGCATTTATTTATCTCAATGATTCTACAAAATCTTCCTTTTGACTTTTTGTTTGTCTTCATTCTCATCTCTTCTGTATTTGTTAACCAATACCAGAGTGCTCCTGTGATCAAACATCCGAATCAAATCTCGGATTATTTATTTTCAAAAGCGAAAAAGTTAATATCTTCCATGGATCAAGGCCGGGACATCAGCAAGTCGTATGAAACACTTTTTTCCTTCATATACGAAGGAGATCAGATGACAGAAGCAGAAACGACTGTAACAGCTTTAGAAAATATCCTTTACTCTATCATAAAATACCTTGGTAAGTATATCAGCTTAACTCAATCCATGAATATGTTCTCAAACGAAAGAAATGTTGATGGTTTATAGAAAATAATTGTCTATGCTTGTTCAAAAAGATGTTTAAAGATATTTATGTATCGTAGTTGATCGATTTCGATGTTTGAAAGGATAGAAACAATTTGCTGGTTCATGCTATCATCCTCTCATTATGAAATCAACACTTGACAAGGCCAATCAAACATGTAGTCTTCTTCATGTGAATAATACATATTTGATGCGTAGTCGACATTTTTTTGAATTTACCTATGCTGCTCATCTATTCTTTATAAAAAATCTAACAAGATTGCTTGTGGAAACTGATCCACGATTATTAAAAAGTAAGAATAAATCAATCGATATTATTTTCGATTCATAAATTAAAAAGAAAAGCTAAAATATGACTTTGTTTTTGATTTTCTATAATTATAGGTAAACTGTTTATGGATAGAATCTTAACGAATGATAGACCCAATTAGCAATTAATGGAAGAGAGATTGTATCAAGATCGACTCAAGTTCAAGCTAAGCAGTAGATCTTCTAATTTTACTAATGAAGATAAGAAGAATGATCGTAATGAAAACGACTGTATTAATTCATTCGATGAGAGTAATGAATCTTTCGAATGGTTCAATAATACTCGTGATCGTTGTGATCAGTTTGCATGGAATGTAGTCAACAATGATTCACATATCTTTACATTCACTACTTACAAAGTGTGGGACCAATTGATTTATTCTTTAAATGACATTGATTTGAATTCAACCTATGAATATGTGTGTCAATGTGGTCGGTAATCTCTTTTGCATAACGGAATAGAAGAGATGTTTTTTCTATTCATTTCTTAAATCTAGTATTTGATTTCTGTTTTGGAAATTTTATGTGTGGTAAACATGGTCGATGTATTAATAGCCTCGAAGGGTTTAAATGTTCATGTTCATTTTTATTCGATGGTGTTCTTTGCGAAAAATGTAAGATGAATTTCTAGTTCTGGCTATCATCAAACTGATCTTCCTTTCGATTTCAAGTTTCATATTTTATATTACAAACGATCATTGCTGTTATTATTATTGTCATCCTTGCATTATTCTTATTAATCAATAAAATATGTAGAACTAGACGCTCTACAATTCAACGAATTACTCAGTGAGCTTTCATTTTGTTCTAATAGTACTGATTGCCCTAGTTGATTTAGATGTTGTAATCAACTAGAGACCACGTCAAATAGCATACAAAATAATCAAAACACTCGCTCAGACCAGAGGAGCTTCTGGATAAAGTCGAAAGAGTAAGTAGAGCTTTCTTTGATAAGGTCCACACAGATTAGAGAATGAATCAAATCAGTCAGTAACGAAAAAGTCCAGCATTGATGTCCGATTGTTAGATATTTGCTCAACGGATGAAGTAGTCTCATTTGAATATGAACGTATTTCATTAATCTCTACCCACACCTCACCCTCAAGATTTTCATCTACTTCTTTTTCTTGCAGAGCATCGAAACAGAAATGTTCCATTCGTTTAATTTGGATTGTTGTCTTGAGTTTTGTCTTTTTCTGTTTACTAATAGTAATTCCGACCGTTGTTAAAATTTGCACATTCCCATTTAATAATACTAATCCGTTAAAATTCCAATCAAATATTGATGCAACGTCATCAATGTTAAAAACTTGCAAAGACAAATCTTATTTTCCGATGGATGAACGCATTTTCTTGGATATTTCATTAGTTTTAACTATCATCATCTATTTATTGGGAATTTTTTTCGAACAACATCCAGCGAAAGGACATTCTTCATCTACAGATAGAACTAGAATTTTGCAACGGAAGAAGCGCAGCACCCGTAGTATTAATGAACAGCATACCTTAGACTCCACTCAAAGATCCAATACAGTTGTTCAAACAGTCGAGAGCATACCTCTGTTGCAACATCCAGCATCTGATAGGGCGACTCAGACACCGGGTGGGTGTGGTTGTGGTTGTGGGTGTGGGTGTGGTGTAGATCAAACCATGATCAAAGTAATGGTTCACACCTACCCCCGCGCTCGCACCCACACCCACACCCAAATTAAATTAAAGACAACCGTATGTAACTTGTATTTATGAAATATAAAAGTAAGAGTGAAATCATTATAAGCATGTCAATCACTTCTCAAACGGCCACACCACATTAATCACAAGTAATTAAGTTTTTTCGTAGCAGAAAGTTGAGTGTGAGTTAGTAAAATAGTTTAATGGGAAATATCTGAATTGTGTTCAATCAATGAAACGAGTTCAAAGCAATTCTTTTAATTATTGTCAGACTCTCCAATACATATCATGTCCATATGACACAGATACTTTGTATTTATTTGTTATGCCAAACTAACTCACATGTTCACAAGATATTAGAACTATAAAGAGTCTTTTTGAAATATTTGTAACAACGATGATAAAAATTTTTTGATGATTAACATGGTTATTACTTGTATACGATAGACACACGTATGATCTATTTACTCTGCTAGAATCTTAATAAGTATACCTTCAATAGATTATCCAATAGATTTTTAGATTTTTTACACGAAAAGTATTATCTGCTAATGGAGTTTTCTTCGAGATTCATTCTGCCATACTCAGTATGAAGTATTAAAGAAGTTCTTCTAGACTCGGCAGAATTTTGTATTTCAGAAGAGTGTGAGTGTGAACATGAGTGCTATAAGTACATAAAATTATGGCATAAAGATGTTGAAAACTATTTTCGTTTGAAATCTTTATCAGTAATGTGTGACTTTTTGGCTCTCACATAAATAATAATGAATATATCCAAGAATAAAAGCTATCAATTAGCAATTAATAGTGAAGCATTTTATCTCTCAGTTGATATCATAACACAGTTTCGACTTGTACATCTGTAAAATATGTCTCTGAAATTTCAAATACGTTAAACAACAGAATCCTTCTAGGTTGTGGCTGTGTGTCTAAATTGTACAATAACATCGAAGCCCGCTCTATACCCACACCATCAATATTCAAAGCTCTAAAACAAACATAAAATGAAAGATCTGAAAATTGCTGGATCATGATAAGGAACCGAATTAAATATAATTGAAAGCGCTGTTATATTTTGAAAAATGTCATTTTTGTGAGTCTTCAAAGAGTGTTTGTCTTGTTAGAAGTTAAAGAAAGGCAGTAACACATATATCCGCTCGTAGTCAGCAGACACATACCAGCATTAGCACATGGGTTCGGTGTACAATAATCTCCTAAAATAGTATACCATTGGCTTTTCTTAAATTATTAAACTTTTCCCCCAGTTTTCTTACTTGTTTCACAGCGTGAACCTGTATAACGAGGTGAGCAAATACATTGATAACCGGCATTTTCACTTACAGATCGGCATGTTCCTCCATTCATACAAGGATTACTTTGGCATAGATCATGAATTTCACATCGACTTCCTGAATATTCTGATGGACAAACACAACGAAAAACATTGTTTTCGCGTATGCAAGTGCCTTGATTCATGCACGGTTGCGAAGCACAAGAATCACCTTATACAATCAGAAAACATAATACATGCGAAAGAAGAACATTTTAGATATATTATGCGGTTCACATCGCTAATCCCGTAATCTAGGTGACTATTGACAAATAAATTCTACAAAATTGTTTAGAATGCATTGACTACTACTCTTACATATTTATCTCTGTTGTAGGCTTACCAATTTGAGGAATGCCTAGCACTACTTTCTCCGGACAATTTTCAAGGACATTCTGTTGAGTTTTTTCCACTAAGCCTCCGCGTTTTTTTTCTTAAAAAAAATTCTTCTCATTTTTCACAAGAAGCAATGCAATTTTATGTGATACAAGAGAGATAATTTGTGAGCGATGATGAAATAAATAGCTCTGTCATATTGCTTTACTTTCTACCACAAATAGACAAATAATATTAGGACGACTCTTGCTGTAAAATTCTCGTACAAATCAACGTCTACAAGGACATCTTTTATGGTTTCACTTTGTGAAGACATTGTCAATTGAAAATTTTCATATGTTTCCTTTGAACAAATATGGGCTTCAGAGTGTGGATGGTGTGTAGATGAGGTCCACTCAACGAATAAAACACATTCAGACTCATCGTGAGCTCAAAACCACATCAACAACTATCCCTAGTTGATAATGAGAAGTAGTAAAACTAGAAATTTTATCGTTCCAATAATTTACTTATTTCTGTTGATGGCAGCGGCGGACACAGATACTGATTGGTCATTTCTAATGAATAGCACAGTGGTCGACTGTTGCATTGTGGATGCATTACACACATATGACCAGATTGATTGCAAGTTCGATTGTCACTGTTACAAAATTGTAATTCTGAACATGCCTGAAATAAATAGACGCATATGCCACCATTTTTTGCAATAGTCATGGGCAAGCAACCACATTCGGGGTTTGTAGAGCATCGATCATATTGATTGTCGCCTCGGCATGTCTGTCCTTCGACTTCATGTACTATACATTAGAGATATTCAGCAAATATCTCTTATAATGGAACCGTCTGTAATGGTACGCGAGAAGATTGACTACTTTCAAGTCATATTAACATTCTTACCACCCACCTAGCAAATTTAAAATATTCTATGCGCATGATGATCAAAGATCAAGATATTTGATTTCTCTCCATGCGGAGTACACTTTTCAAGCAAAATCATATTTTCGAATTTCGATTTTAAACTTTTCATATGTTAATTAGTCAACGAAACTAGCATGCAGAAAAAATTTCAGAATGTTTTGATAAATGTCTCTCGCAGATATGAAACTCCAAAAATACACAATACTGACTGAAAAGTGTCAATATTTTGTGCATATCATCATATCTTGGAGAGATATTGTCTCCTGCAACATAGTTTCACGAAGTAATTTACACTAGATCTAATATCTCGATCCATGATGACTATCGATGTGCCATATTTTCAATTTATTAGTTTGATGGTAAGAATAATAATTTGACTTGAGTTGATCAATTTTTTCGTATACCATTATAGAAGCTTCATTATTAGTAATGATACTTACTAGAGACACTAAAATATATTGGAATATTAAGATTCGAATAATGAGTACGAAACAGTGCTACTTACATAACGAACACGAGTAATATCACAAACTCTGTCGACATCTTTTCAATTCACGCAGCATCAATTCTTCGTTGAATCGAAATGAAGCTTCTTTTATCAGTTACGTTGCCATTTATACATGCAAAAATAAAAGACCAAAATAATTCAATGGCCGATTTCAATCAAACAGATATTTGCCTCAATATTCTCAATACATCACATAGCTTTTTAATCAATTACGGTCGTATTAAGATGTGAAACATGATATGTCTGTTTTTTTCGTAAATGAATAGTTATCTCAGGGATTTTCAAACGTGTGTATTGTAGAATAGGTGGAAAAATTACATCGAGGGTGTGGGTTTGGGTGTGGGTGTGACTGTGGGTGTGGATATGTGGGTGTGGCATGGATCTGGATGTGGGTGCGTTTCTCTTTTTCTAATCCAGACCGACTCTCACACTCACCTTCAAGATAGTTTTCTTTTACTTCATAGAACTTATCACAAATTTATATATACCATGTCTTGTTTCGCCATTTTAATTTTCGATATTTTTCCTCTTTGCCATTTTTTCATTCGCTTCTTTTTGTTTTCTTTATTTCCTTTTCTAAATTTTTGTGTTCTCAAAAAGTGAGTACACTCTAAAATCGGTCAGTATGTCCGGCCGTTTACACGATAACTTTTGAAAGGAGAGTCCAATCGCGATGGAATTTTCTACACAGTTCAGTCTTAACAATGTCTCAATCGAGTTCAATGATGAGCAGGATCCGTCAAGAAATGGCTGAGTTATAGAAAAAATTGTCATTATTGAGAAGACCATCCCGGGGGGGGGGGGGGGGGGGGCAGGGGGTACAGGGATTTTTTCAAAGAAAACTTTTTTCTCCGAATTATTTACAAGATATATAAAGCGACTCAGTTTTTAACGCTGATTCCGAATCTGATATTAGTTTTCAACTAAATTATAGCTTTCTCACAAAACATCCCCTGAAAAAGGTCTAAAAATGCATAAAAACTGCATGAAGAAAGCAAATAGGGTAGATATGTCTCAGATGATAAAAAAAAAGTGAATATACCTTTTCACTTTTCGAAGTACACATAACACTCGGATTTAAATCCGATGTTTCGGCATTTATTCTTCTACATTTCTCCTTTCGACATTTTTCCTTTCTTTCTTTCTTTTTCCATCCATTCTCGTAAACATTTCATAGTGCTATGATCAACTAATGGTGATTTAGTTTTGCTTTTTTTATGAGTAGAGAAAAAACTCATTACTCGTCGGCAAGAAAGTAGAGGTTTCGTCGCTTGTTGATGAAGCTTATTCTGCGCAAATAAGAGAGGAAATTGATTGTACTTTGTGCAAACACACCTTTCCTTTCGTGGAAAAAGAACGAAGAAAAAAGAGACAGACCACAATAACTGTCACCTGAGAGTGGGTAAAAAAACAGACACTCATCTACTCACTCTCAAGATACCCATATTCGACACGTAGCTTAGAAGAAATTCATGAAAAATGAATCTTATCTCTAGTTGACTAGAGCTTTTAGATGAATGTATGATTACAAAATGAATCTTTAATCTGAGGTTTTTTTCTCTATATAGGTGATAGATGATTCAATTTCGAAGTAGTTGAGTATCCTATTTTATTTTAATGTTTAATAAGATTTATTTTCAATATATGTTTTGATTTTTTTCAATCCAATAGTTTTAATTACATGTAAAAAGAATATCAACAAAGAGTAGTGACTCAACGTTGAAAATCAAAACTATCAGAGAAAAATATAATTTTTTAGAAAATATTCAATATCTAACAGATGTAATCAACATTGAAATTATTCATTCGAAGGAACACAATTTTTGAGCTTTATTTATTTATTTTTTTTTCTAGTCATCCAGATGAAAAATCTAGATGCATTTTAACATACTTTTTGATATACTTTTTGTTTCTTTGTTTGAGAAGCATGTGAGAGAAAAATGAAAAACAAAAAATTTTTGATGCGAGTATTTTTTTTATTTTAGATTAAACAAAAATAGCTCGAGGCATTCTTTGTGCAACACGTTGTTAATATCATTTGACTGTTAGTCAACGAAACTAATCATCATGAGCCGTAATAATCGTAAAATAAATGATCAAAAAGATAATGTATCATCGAGAAGTAGCAAACAAAAAAATTCTAGAAAGTCAAACGACGAACAAAATGTGTATGATGAAGAGTTTCCACCATTGAACGCGTCCGATACCATTTCATCAAATGTGTTGCAAGTAAATATATATTACTTATCAGATTTTTTTAATAATCAATTTCTTTTATAAGAAAAAAACCTTCACATCAGATGAAAATAAAAAACAAGAGACGGCAATGGCTCTTCCTCGTAGGTTACAGATAAATCTGTTCACAATTAAATTGACTGTTTTTTCTTTTTAAGCTGACAATTCAATACAACTACCAGCTGAAAAGAAGTCTAGTCACTGGAAATCTACTTCAAGACAACCACATACTTTAACATTAGCGGCATTCGTTCGAGAATCAGCACCACAATCAATGAGTTCTCGAAACACTAATAAATCTTATTCGACTGATCGTTCCACCGCACGTAACTATCCTCTTCTGAATCTTTCAAAAATCCATTTATGTTAAGAGGAATATATTTATCATTTTTATGATTCTTCCAAGGTATATCTCCCAGATTCTAAACATGAATATTTTTCACTTGAATGTTGAAACATTATTTTAAAACAATATCATGTATATGAAATGTTTATCTATAAAAAAAACTTTTGACTCAATTAAATTCGTGAAATTTTAATAAAACTCTTTCTTTTACAAAATTTTTGACTTTTAATCAATGTATAAAAGGACAAGAATGATGAACTATTTCATATGTCTTTCAGAATAATCTAATCAAATAAAAATAATAAAAATGATTTGATTATCGAATTTAGAAGCTACAAAAAGTTTTATTTTTTGGTAATATTAAAATAAGTAAAGTTTATTTATTCGAAATATTGTTACGATAATAAATATCATTTTTGATCTTTATCGACTTAGTTTCGACCAAAAATTTGCACTTATTAATTGTCCATCATAAAATATACAATGACGAATTTTTTTTTCACAAAGATCACATTCGAAATTCAAATTTTCGTAATTTATTGAATATCTTTTATTAATATAGATGACAAAGAAAAAAACATTGAATAAAATTTTAAATTTAAATCTAATCTTTTATTGACACATATTTTCTTATTTTTGTTTTTTTATCTATTGATAGATCATGCAACATTTGAGTCATATACACAAAATCTTTCAATTTCGATCGAAGATATCGAGACTACAATAGGTAAAATTATCTTAACAATTCATCTACGTCAAGAATATGTATCAGTTGCCCAAGTTGAACAAGATCTTTTTGCACATTATGGTGTTCAATCGTTTAGAGAATTAGGTGTTAATCAACGAGATCTGAAAACTTTAACGAATCATATTCATCGTGATAAAGATGTTACTTTTTACATGCAAGTATTCGAACAAATTTTCAATTTATGTACATTATATGATCTTGGTCCATTGATTGCTAAATTTCTCAAAGTGAACAAATATGAAGATGCACATCTTGGACCACTAGATGAACATCCTGCCATAAAACGAATTTTTAAATATAAACCTATAAAACGTCATGTACCAATTCCTGAAATAACAAGTGGAGATATTATATATGCATTTGTCGAGTTTCAACAGAGTCATCAAAATAGAAAATTTCTCTATGAAGATTTTATCGATGAACTTGTTCAAGAATATGAATTAGAAAAACGTGAACAACTTGGTCTTTTTTGTAGATCTTTTCCATATTTAAGTGAAGTAACAAGAAAATTAACACAAGAATGGAATAGATGTGATAAACGATTTGTATCTGATGCTACTAGACGTATTACTAATGAAGTTGAAAAAAAATTACAAGAAATGCAGCAAGAGGTGTTGAGTGAACTTGAACTTTCATCATATACAAAATAAATCGCCAATGTCTGTTTTTGATCATCTTATTTCAGTTGTTGATAAACATTTGAATATTGCCCAACAGAAAGCTATTCATGATTTATTGATTAAAATTCGAAAAGATGATTTATTAAGATGTTTATTAAACATAAGTATTTATTTGGGTTCAATGGACAAACCTGAAAAATTCATTGCTGAATTTCAAAAACTCACTCAAAATCAAAATTCTACGTCATCATCACAACAATCTTCAAATGCCAAGAAATCTTTGAATAATAATTATCATCAACAAAATTCACCAAATATATCCAATGCTCATAATGTAAGTTCGTATATTTGCAACAAATAGATCCATTCATAAAATGAAAGAAAAGAAAAGACTTTTTCTTATATAAATAAGAGTCATTCAAGAAATTATTCAACTTTTTATAGAATACGATAAGAATAGATTTGCAAGTTTTTTTTCTTAAGATCAAATCTTTTAAACTATCGCAATCGGCTTCAATTAAATCTTCAGTTATACATATGAGTTAGGATATGAAATTTCAAATATTGAAATTTTTAATAATTTTCTACTTATGTTGTTTTTAGGTGAAATCAGAAGGAAATATTTCTTCAACAATAAATGAAACATCATTTGCAAAATTGTCTTCACCATCATATGAAACAAGATCGTTAATATCTCTTCAAGATATATGTTCCGATTTATTTCTTATTCTCGTTCGTTTTGATTCGGTTTTGACAATCAAACAACTCTATGATATACAAAATCATTTATGTAAAAAATATTCAATAAAAAATTTCTCTGAATTTTGTTTTATCGATAATGATGATGATGAAAATAATTATCTTGATCTTATATCATTTATTCATAAGCATCGTGATAAAATTGATCAACACGGAGATTTATCAATATATGAATATATTTCATCAACTAGTGATCGACAAGAAATCTATACATTTGTTAATCAACTTACAGTAATTAAAAATTGGAGAGAAAAACAAGAACAAAATGAATATTCAATTGATCGTAAAATTATTATGAGTAAAGATCAATCGTCTGCTGTTGAAAGAGCATTACAATATAAATTTGCTGGACAAATTGGACCTCATCGAGTTTCTCAAATAATCAAAAAAGCAAAACATCAGTATAAGAAAAAAATTCGTTCAATTATTCAGTAAGAATTTTTATTTATTTAAAAAAATCTCTCTTCACATTTTTATATTTGTAGAATTTTTCTAAAATAAGATTTAGAAATTATTCTTCTATCTTCTCTACTATTTTGATAGATGACAGACAGATATGAATATTTCATAAATGATTGTAAAAATAGATATAGAGGCATTTCATATATTCATAGTACAACCGAGAAGAATTTTACTTTACTTTTCTTTGAGATTTACTCTATTGTATTAAAGATCTTATTTAAAGAACATTTTCTGTCACATCATACAACTTTTCATTAGACTAATTTAAAATTTATCAAATAGATTTAGGGAATTCGAAACCATATGTATTAGATAATAAATAAGATTACACCATATAATTTTGAAAGAGAAAATCTCAAGCGTAATATATCTATTATTACATTTGAAAACTATATTTGATATTGATATGATCTTCAAGATAAAAAATATCGTTATTCTATGTATAAGATTTTATTACAATTTTTATTTCCATGTTTATAAAAAAAAGACATTTTATTTTTAAAATTTAAGATTAATCTGATCATAAACAGCTATTATAATAGAAAGCATTAATAAAAATTGTTTAATATGGTATTTCGAGATAGTTTTATTGTTTTTATCTACGAATCTAACTTATTCTTCATATAAATTAAAAAATTAGAACAATAAATAGATCTCATATATTCATAATGAAAATTTCTATATCAATCTTCATTTCAAATTTTAAACAAGATCTATCTGTCCATTCGTAATAGAATAACGATTTTGCACTTTCTTTTTCAATATCTCAGTGAAACGAAGACAGATAAAGCTGAAATTTTCAGACTAGATTTAAATCGAGTTGCTCTACACAGCCTCAAAGTTTTATTAGAATTGAAGCTTCCTTCATAACTTTATGGTTCAGAGAACGTCACAGGACGGTTTTCTTCGTCCTGGCAGGGCACGCATGCAGAAAAAAAAGTCGTCCTGCGTTCTGCCTGCAAGACAGTGTTTCATCCTGCAAGTTTCTAAAAGGTAAAATATTCTGTAAATGTGACATATGATGTCAAGTATCATAGAAATATTCTGTTTTAAATTTTTTTTTATAATGAAATCATCATTTTTTGGTGAGATAGACTATCAATCGATTCTACAAAAACTGATTCATCAATAGTTGCTTGTATTGACGCTGCAGGTAAAATAGTGGGGTCTACATCAATTGTTTGAATGACAACCAGACGTAGTCAATTGGTCGTATGAGAAATTAGTCGATTAAACAAAATTGAATTAGAGAAAAATTACCTAAATAACGAGACAATTTGACATATGATAACAATAGATCCAGAACAACAGTTGAAATTGAAGTACAATAATACTAAATATAATTACAAATTTAGTGGTAATTCTTCTAACTGTCTAAGTAGAGTTAGATGTGGAGAAAGCAGTAAGCTCTTTAGAGGTTTTCTATAGTCGAAATATTTTGGTGTAAAAAGTAGTAAAATAAACATTTGTAGATGTTCTTTCTGTATATTCAATTGCTTGACAAAAGTAACCTTTTTAGTAGATTTTTTTTATTTGTAGTTCTATTAATTGTATGATTCAATTCAAATTCTTTCTATCATATTAGTCGTTTACATTTTTCAGTTGTAGGAATAGTTATAGATGACATCGTTTCGAAAAACGTATATCTGATTTTTTTTCTTTTAAAAATATTCAGGGACGCATAATTAATTAGATTATTTATTTACTATATGTTCTATATTCTTTTTATCAAATCTAGTCGTATATGTCCCTTCCTTTTTCTTTGATATTTTCCTCAACTAATTGAAAAGTATAGCTATATGTTAGTCTACATTAATAAGTCAATTAAGATTTTGCAGACATAATTATTAAATATTTTTTCCAGTCAATATTCTTCTGGTTAAGCTGAAGGTTTTGAAACTGAATCATTACTTGAATTCATCTAATGAAAATAAGTATAAAAAAAATTTAAAATCAGCTCCAACTGTTAGGTAAAATCTTTCGAGCAATTGAATATACAGAAAGAACATCTACAAATGTTTATTTTACTACTTTTTACACCAAAATAT